CTATTTTGTTCTTTGGCTTATTTATCAGTTGGGTTATTGATTCTTTGGAGGGAGTGATTTTTTAAGCTCATAGAATATTCTGGTTATTAGACCCTTGTCAGATACATGACTGGCAAAGATCTTCTCCCCTTCAGTCTTTTAAGCTTAATGACAATGTCCTTTGTTGTGCAGAAGGTTTTTACCTTAATGAAATTCTACTTGTCAAGTCTCTCTCCTAATTGCTAAGCTCCTGACATTTTGCCGAGGAAATTCCTGCTATGCCAATAAATTCTAGCGTTTCCTCTATTCCTTTTTGTAGGAATTTCTGATTTCAGGCTTTTCATTAAAGCATTTGGTCCACTTTGAATTGATATTGATACACAATGAGAGATAGGAGTCCAATTTCAATCATTTGCATGTGGATATCCATTTCTTTCTACACCATTTTCTGAAGATGCTACTTGAGTTGATTTTTGAGAAATTCATTTAATTTTTTTTTTGGTCGGTCGTAGGGCTTGAACTCTGGGCCTGAGCTTTTCAGCTCAAGGCTAGCACTCTACTACTTGAGTCATAGTGCCACTTCTGGCTTTTTTTTTTCTGTGTATGTGATACTGAGGAATTGAACTCAGGATTTCATTATGCTAGGCAAGCACTCTAACACTAGGCCACATTCTCAACCCCAATTCATTTAATTTGTAATGAAAGTTTACAACTTGATTTCTCAAAAAAAAAAAAGGAAAAAGAAAAAGAAAGTCAACAAACTACAAGTACTAAGAAAGTATCTAATAACAACAATAAGAAAGAATTACAAATAAAGTAGATAGGTTAGGAGGAAAGATTTTGGCCAAAACTATATTGATTTTGGTATGAGTGCTATCCAAAATTCTGAATGAAAATTGGCTAGACCACCTCTATCAATGTCCACCATGTGCGTTCATTTGGGACCTTCTCAAGCACACTAAGTTCTCAGCCATCCTTATGCCTTGACCCAGGCTGGGTTCTCTGTCCCTCTTCCATTTGTAAATTATCATGCTTCCTGTAAGTTCCAGCTTGATAAATGTCACTTCTTATTCCAAGTCATTCTCAACTGAGTCTAATCAGAGTGGAACCATATACTCTTTGTCTTTCTGGGCCTCACCTGATTCACTCAAGGACTGGCATATAGATAGAGTTATCTGCCCATGGGAGTTCCTGGCAGCCATCTTGTCACAGAATAGAACCTGAGAGTGAAGCCAACCTCCAGTAGGACAGAGGAGAGAGTGATAGAAGGCACATTCTAAGAGCATCCTTTGAATCTCTGAATCAAATTGTGCCAGCCCTTGCTAACTACTTCATGATTCAGTGCCATGTGTAGAGGCAATAGAACTGCCGTAGGAATTACTTTCCACTTTAGATAGACTCTCCTTGACCTAGGTTCCTAACTTTGCACAGAAAGTAAGGTAAAGTTGTCCAAACCATCTGTGTCAGTTTCTTATGACTCCTGCAACAAACTCCCTCCAGATCAGGGGCTTTTAACAACACAAGTTTATCATCTTCCAATACTAGAGTTCCGAAGTCTGAAATGCATTTCATGGAACTAAAAATCAAGATGGCCATTGTGTTCAAAGTCAACCTGGGCAGGAAAAGTACATAAAACTATTCATTGTTGTTGTTGTTGTTGTTTTGTCCGTTGTGGGACTTAAACTCTGAGCCTGGATGCTGTCCCTGGAGCTGAACTTCAGCTCAAAGCTAGAGCTCTACCATGTAAGCCACAACTCTGCTACAGGTTTTCTGGTGGTAAATTGGAGATAAGAATCTCATGGACTGTCATGCACAGTCTGGCTTTGAACTGTGATTCTCAGATCTCAGCTAGGATTACCATAGGTGTGAGCCACTTGCACCCAGCTCACAGGAGACTTTCATCTCCATTAACTACCAGAAAAAGTGGAAGTAGAGCTGTGTTCAAGTGGTAGAGCATTAGCCTTGAGCACAAAAGCTCAGGGACAGTGCCCAGGCCCTGTATTCAAGCTCCAGGACACACACACACACACACACACACACACACACACACAAATCAAGGTGTCAGTTGGGCTGGTTATAGAGAATTGGTTTCCTTGCCTTTTCTCATGTCTAGAGTCTTCCACAATCCCTGACTGTGACCACCCCCTCCATCTTCAAAAGCAGCATTAGCATGCCCCATTTAACCATTTCTTAAGTTCTAATATGAATTCAGTTATTACCTCCTCCTTCTCTCTCCCCCTCCCTTTTTCCTTCTCTCCCTCCCTTTTTCCTTCTCTCGCTCCTTCCTTCCTTCCCTCCCTCCTTCCTTCCCTCCCTTCCTTCCTTGCTTCCTTGCTTCTTTCCTTCCTTCCTTCCTTCCTTCCTTGCTTCCTTCACCATTTTCTGAGCATTAATTAAGGCTGAGCACCTTTCTGGAATACAACCAGCCATCTAAATTCTACCATGAAGGCACTAATAACAGTGTGTTTCTTTGGATTGCCTTGTTACTGGTTCAAATTTAAATGGACAAGCCTTTGAGAAAAGGCACATGAACATGGCAGCACAAAACATAGTTCCCATGATGCTCTACTCTCTCTGGTAAGTTTCTACCTCTAAGGTCCTTAAAACATTGTCTGATGCTCACCAAACACAGAGAACACTCACAATGAAGTTGAGATCTGAAGAGTTGATTTTCACCTAGATGGCACCACCTTCGTGTAGGTGGGTGCTGGTGCTGAGAAAGACATTCACACCCCCGCCCAAAGACTCTCACCTCACTCCCCTTCCCTCCAAGGAAAAAAACAACTGAACTTGGCAAATGTTCCCACAAAACCAATCTCAAGAAACGTTTAACAAAAACAATTGGCTCCAAACCATCTTTGTGTTTTAGAAATACACACTAAGGTATTTACAGGTAAAATAATACGAGGGCTTACATTTGCTTCAGAACAAAATATGTGGGAGAATGTGGGTGGGGTAGAGATGAAGGGGGCTGGGATAAGTTAATAATTATCAAAGCTAGGAGTTGGGAACATAGGGAATCATACTATTCTTTTTTTTTTTTTTTTGGGTCCGGTAACTCTGGGCCTGGGCAGAGCTCTTCAGCTCAAGGCTAGTGCTCTACCACTTGAGCCACAGCGCCACTTCCGGCTTTTTTCTTTTTGCTTATGTGGTGCTGAGGAATCAAACCCAGGGCCTCGAGCATGCAAGGCAAGCACTCTACCACTGAGCCACCTTCCCAGCCCGGAATCATACTATTCTTGCACATATAAAAACTTTTGTTTATGTTTATTTATTTATTTTTGGGTCCGGTCGTGGGGCCTGAACTCTGGGCCTGGGCGCTGTCCCTCAGCTCTTCAGCTCAAGGCTAGCGCTCTACCACTTGAGCCACAGCGCCACTTTCGACTTTTTTCTTTTTTCTTATGTGTTACTGAGGAATCGAACCCAGGGCCTCACGCATGCAAGGCAAGCGCTCTACAACTGAGCCACCTTCCTAGCCCAAAACTTTTATAATAAAAAAAAAAAATAAGAAGGAAAATGTTTTGCATTTTGCCCTGTGTCATTCATTTGGGTATATCTTTTTAGCTTAAATGCTTGCCTCTACTTAAAAATAAACAAGTGTAGGTTTATGAATATTGGCAAAACAGTCACTTTCTACAATTATTCCAACCAAAGCAAAAGAGGGAGGGTAGACATTTTATCTTTTTGTTGCATTGAAAAAATAATGCTGTTCAGGGAAAAAACACATAAAACTCTTAAATATTCTGAAATATGGGTACGAGGTCTAAGTAACACTGTCTTGTCTTTATCACCATCTTGACACCTTAATAGAGGATGAGGACTTTCCTAAAAACTCTAGCGATGAAATAGGTCATTCTTTGAGTTGCAGATGAGTCATGTTGTTTAGCTCCAGAAAAGTCTTGCTCCAGAGAATTCTTGCCCCAAGCCCCTAACTGTTCCTCACCTGGATTGCTTATATAAAACACTTTTGTTAGATTTAATATCTCACACTATATGTGGTTTTGGCCTATTTAAGCTTTGTGCCAGCTACATTGATTGCTGCAAGTTTTTTGCAGATGCTGGCTTTCTAATGAAGACTCCCAGTTCAACCACTTAAAGTGTGGCTTCTCTGTATTTCACTGATCGAATTCCCATGTAACAATTCCAGTAACTGGATTAATAGGAATAAAGATATCATCTGGGGGAAGGCAGTTCAACTTGGTAATAAAAGTGATCAGCCAGTTTGACCTGTCTCAAAATTTTCAGATCTTAATTTCCTGACAGCCTCTTAGCACTGGCATGGTATTATGAAATTGTGGTTTCCAGCCTTAGTACAAACCTGAGCAAACCAGTGAGGGGAGAAGAATTTTTTTGAGATCTCCATCTGTCTTTTCAGTACACCCTTGGTTCAGTATTATCATCTACTGGAAAGGCCACAAGCCTTACAGCCCAAAATGTGACTTGACATCATCTCAGATATTAGGAGAGGAAGGGAGGCAAGTTCTAGAACCTCTCCAAAACTCAGCTTCTTTGTGTATAAAATATAAAACACTGGATACTTGGCAGGAATAACATTCTGGCTTGTAAAGTAAGGGAAAGACTAGATCTAATTAAGTCACCTTGTTTTCACATGCAGCCTAGTGCCTAATCAGATGATGGGGGGCTGTCCTCCCCACTCCCAAGGCTTAGAGGTGAAACAAGCCATCCTTTGAATTGAGGACACACCATGTTCTTTAGACCCAGAGAGAATATGTAAATGCAACATGTTTAGCCCCAGGGAAGCCCTGCTCTGGGTACCTCTCCTAGTAACTTTATGTTGACGTTTTATCACTACCCAAGCATGTGGTTTTTGTCTTTCAAAGTTTGGTGTAAACCCTTCTGTACAGCATCTTTAAAATTAAATTAAATTTAAAAAAAAGTTTGGTGTAAGCTCTGTTCTGGGCTGCTGGTCTTTGAGACAGGAGGCCACCATGCAGACTCTGGCCATTTAATAAAGACTCCCAATTCAGTCTCTAAAAAGGTGACTTCTCTGTATCTTGCAGACCAGATTTACTAGATTTTACCTTACAATACTTGAATCTGAAAGGTTCCCCACAGCTACAAGTGTTGAATGCTTGGTCCCCAGCTGGTTGTGCTATTTTGGAAAGTGAAGGAAACTAGGAGGGAGAGGCCTAACCAGAGGAAATAGGATGCCCATGACTTTGGAGCTTGTTCTTCATCCCCAGTCCTTCTTCTTTCTCTGCTTCCTGTCTTCCATGAGGTGAAGAGCCTCCTCTGCCACACACCAGCTCTGACAATAAATGGGCCCAAGAAACAATGACTGGGGCCAAAAGTAAGTCTTTTTACTATTAGAGGGTTTTTAAAATTTGTTTTGTTTCATTTGTGCTAGTCCTGGGATTTGACCTCTGGTCTAGGCACTGTCCTGAGCTTTTTTTTTTGCTCAGGTCTAATACTCTACCACTTGAGGCCCTGCTCCACTTCCAGCTTTTCGGTGTTTAATTGGAGATCAGAGTCTCAGAGACTTTTTTGCCTTGGTTGACTTTGAACCGCAATCCTCAGATCTCAACCTCCTGGGTAGCTAAGATTACAGGTGTGAGCCACCAGCGCCTAGCTACTCTTTGCTCAGATATTTTGGTCACAACTATGCAAATGTAACAAGTATAGATACTGTGAGGATTATAGATAACATATAAAATGCTTCTGTTATCATTCTGTTATCCTTCCCACGTATTCCATAAAATGATTAGCACATAGTAAAATGCAAAAAAAGACTATATTAAACATTAGAGGAAGGTAAGGCTGTGCCAGGATCCTCTCCTCACAGGTATCTGAAACCCACTCAAGACATCTCCCTCTTATTCTTCCTCTCATCGAATTAATAGACAAGTTCTATCCCTTCAAGTTCGCAGAATCTCTAGAATATATCTGTCGACTTCCCTTAAGTTCTGCTGACTTCTTCCATTCAAGATTTTCTCTTCTCTGGGGCTGGGAAGGTGGCTCAGTGGTAGAGCACTTGCCTTGCATGCATGAGGCCCTAGGTTCGATTCCTCAGCACCACATAAACAAAAAGAAAAAAGCCGGAAGTGGTGCTGTGGCTCAAGTGGTAGAGTGCTAGCCTTGAGCTGAAGTGCTGAGGGACAGCACCCAGGCCCAGAGATCAGGCCCCAGGACCGGACGCCCCCCCCCCCGCAAAAACAAAACAAAAACAACCAAGATTTTCTCTTCTCTCAGACCAGGTCTGTAGCCAGGCTGGTCTTCTCCTGTCTGTGCTGCCCAATCCTCTACTGTATTTTGGGATCTTTTTTTTATGCAGGTACAGGAGCTTTTAGTCAGGGCCTAGAGCTCTTGCTTAGAGTTTAGCTCAAGGATGGCACTCTACCAGTTGAGCCACAGTTCTACTTTTGGCTTTTTGATGTTTGATTGGTGATACATCCCTCAGATTTGTCTTCCCCAGGTGCCTTAAAACTTCAATCCTCAGATCTCAGCTTCCTAAGTGTAAGCACCAACCCAGAAAACCACTTGGATACACAGTCATGTAGAAGAAAGAAGTGTTTAAAATCAGCTAGAGGCTGACAGGCTATCTCTCACGGGATTGAGAGTAGCAAACTGCTCTCAGAGGAGTTTGAAGGCAGAAGAAGGAGCTGGGGCAGGAAATCTTTGTAGACACAGCTGGACCCTGGAGATATCAGACAGCCAGGACAGAACATGCTGTAGCTTGCTCGCAACCAGGGAAATCTTCCTATCGCAGAGACAATACATTCTATATCTGGCATGTAGCAAAATCAATATATTTTATAGCTGTCACATGACCAGGGAAAGCATCCCACAGCAGAGACAATATATTCTATTGCTGGCATCTTGCAACTATGCACTAGAAGTCACGTGGGCCTGGGCCTGGGCCTGGGCTTCCAGACTACCATTGTTGATGTAGCCAGGGCAGGGGGGGACCTGTTGCAACAATGATAAGTACAAGTTGTCATGTCCAAAACGAGCTTTACAACGTTGGCGCTGGGGGGGGGGGAAGGGGGGGCGGGAATAGACATCTGTGGCTGGGCCTGGCTTGTGGCTGACCCAGGGTGAAGGCTGTCAACCCAAAATAGGGGTGAATAAGCTTACACTAAGTAGCTAGGCTTATAAGTATGAAACACCAAGCCCAACTTCCACTGTTAATTCTCATTTTACCTGGAGGAACATTTTTCTTTTTAAAAAAAAATCAAGGTATTTTGGGCATTTACGCAAATGTTTACAAACAAGACCACACTAAAGCTACCAGCACAACTATGTTTATTGCAGCATTATTTACTATCGCTAAGATATGGAACCAACCCAGATGCCCCTCAGGAGATGAATGGATCAAGAAAATGTGGTATATATACACAATGGAATTCTATGCCTCCATCAGAAAGAATGACATTGCCCTATTTGTTAGGAAATGGAGTAAGCCAGGCCCAAAGAAACATAGGTCCGTCCCATGGTTTCCCTTATTTGCAATATCTAGTATATGTCTGAGTCAAGCAGAAAAGGTCAGATAAGGTGATGTTAGGGAAATGAACCCTAAGATACGTATTCAAATGTTTTTTTTCTTTCATGTGATTGTTTCTAACACATAAGATTATTTCTTTGTTGCTTTGTATGTCCCTCCCCCACAGTATAACCCCTGCTTTCTCTGTATTTGATGTCGGTATAATTTGTGGAGGGGAAGGGGAAAAACAAATCGTTTAAATAGGGATACAGGTGGACCCATTGCAACAATGAGATGTACAAGTCGTTATGTCAAAAATGAACTTTACAATTTTGGTGGGGGAAGCAGATTAGGTGGCGGGGGGAGGATGGGAAGGGGAAACAAAGGAGGAGGCTGCAATGCTTGATAAGAAATGTACTCATTATCTTGCCCATATAATTGTAACCCCTCAGTACAGTATTTTCACAATAAAAAAAGAAGAAAAATCAAGGTAAATTTAGCATCTTTTAAAAAGAGTATAATAAACTCTGTATGTCCATCACCCAGTGTTCACAACGGTCATTAAGTTGTCAATTTTGTTTTGCCTGATGCCCACTACCCTTTCCCAGTGTATTTGGAGTATCTGAAGTAGATCCCCGAGGTCATAGTATCTGCAATAGGGGGCATCCTTCTATGCATCTAAATCTTTCACATAACTTGCAAGCTCCACATGATCTGCCTTACGTTGACTTCCCAACTACACATCCCAAGTTGCCGTTCCCTTCTCTGGGCCCAGGGAGACCAGCCTTCTCTTTGCTCCTCTAATATTTTATTGTGTCTCTTTGGACTGTTTTCTATGCTCAGAAGCTCTGTCCTTTACCTTCCGTTCCCCTCATTGCTTACATGTTCGTGTTTCTGTTATCACCTTGCCCATTGTTTTCTCAAGTGGTCCCTAGGCTCTCACTGAGTGCCTCGTGGTCTATTTTTAGTACCCTGTTTCTCTTGCAAGTATTAATACATAATTAATTTTGTAGTTAGTTATATAGAGCTATCACCTTTGTTAGAAATCAGTTCTATGGACCAAGGAATTGTGTCTAGTTTATTATGTGCTATATTAACCAGTAGGCCTCAATATTCTTCTTATAGAAAACATTCAATAATCGATAAATATTTGTTGACTAAAGCTCCTAGGAAAGGCAAACACAAGAGCTAACAACTATTCCTAACTTGTTTATATATTTAGACCAGTATCCTAAACTTTTCAAAACCCTAAGAACAATGCTCTGACCTTTTATTTTCAATATGTTTGTTATAGTCAATATGACATCTTAGAAAGATTATCAGCCAGGTATAAATGATAACCTTAGTTAATACATATACTTGATAATGAACCAGTTGGTTCATGCACATAATTCCAGCACTCATTTTGAGTTTGAGGCCTACACAATATGATCTTTATGAAACAATGCCAATCACCTGTTTGAGGACTGATCATCTTATATGTGGAAATCAGAATATTAAGTTAGCTAGAGAAACTGAATTATCAGACTAAGAATAAGCAATTAAAAAAAAAAAATCAAAACAGAGCCGGGCGCTGGTGGCTCACGCCTGTAATCCTAGCTACTCAGGAGGCTGAGATCTGAGGATCGCGGTTCAAAGCCAGCCCGGGCAGGAGAGACCGTGAAACTCCTATCTCAATAAACCACCAGAAAACCGGAAGTGGCGCTGTAGCTCAAGTGGTAGAGCCCTCGCCTTGAGCTGAAGAGCTGAAGGACAGCGCCCAGGCCCAGAGTTCAAGCCCCACGGCCGACCAAAAAAAAAAAAAAAAATCAAAACATACACACAAAGGCAGGCACTGATACTCACTAGTAATCCTACCTACACAGGAGAATGAGACCTAGAGTTTTATGGTTCTAAGTCAGCCTGGGCAGAAAAGTCTTTTAAGTCTCCATCTCCAGTCATAGCTTAAGTGGTAGAGCACCATATTCTAAGACCTGAGTTTGAACCCAAGTATCTGCAACACACACACACACACACACACACACACACACACACGCACACACGCACACACGCACACACACACCTTACAGCACCACCTAATGTTTACAGAGTAGTAGAAATCATTTTTCCTACATGATTTCATGTAATTCTTAGAACGACCTTGAGATATACCTTATTATTCCCATTTTATACATAATGAAAATATACTACCATGGCATTGAGAACTTCATTTATGAGGTTGGGAATGTGGCTTACTGGTAGGATGCTTGCCTAGCATGTATAAGGCCCTGGGTTTGATTCCTCAATACCACATAAACAAAAAATAAATAAATAAAAGTAATTTGAAAATTTTTTTTATGGGCTGGGAAGGTGGCTCAGTGGTAGAGCGCTTGCCTTGCATGCATGAGGCCCTGGGTTCGATTCCTCAGCATCACATAAGCAGCAAAAGCTGGAAGTGGCGCTGTGGCCTAAGTGATAGAGTGAATTGCTGAGAGCTGAAGAGCTGAGGGACAACGCCCATGCTGTCTGAGTCATTCAGGATTTGAAACCAGGAAGTCTGACCCCAAAGCAGGGATTCTTGTCCCCTGTTAGAGGAGTATTAAATGCCCCCTACTGGCTAATGTGCTTCCAGTTGGTGGTGCTATTTGGCAGGGAATGGAGACTTTCTTAAGTAAGGCCTATCCAAAGGACAAAGGATGTAAGTACAGTGAAGTTATACCTTTGAGAGTTATAGTTTGTCCCTAGTCCCTTTCTCTTATATTGCTCCTACCTCCTGTCTACCACAAAGTGAACAAGTTCACTCTACCACACATTCTTACCACCATTTTCTGCCTTAGGAGAAATCCACAATAATGAAGAGGGCGCACCACACACTGAGAGATTAATTCTCTCAGGATTTTATCACCAAAACAACTAACACATTGGGATTGACAAGTAACCTTTTAGTGCTATAGAATATAGCACTAAATTGAAATAACAACACTAAATTGAAAATAAAATCTAAAAATAAAATAAAGGACAGTTTGATTTGTCTGTTTACATTTCATATACAGACTTTCAGAGGAATGTTGAGTAACCTGATCACAATAAGGAATCCATTCCTTCTAGACCCCTGACTTTAGACTTTATATCGTCTTCTCTACAGAAAGAACCAAACCAGAACTGTCAAGTATTGAAGTTATTCCCTACCATGAACTTGACCTTGTGTTGTTTTCCTCCCTGTTCTGTGCTGCTGGCTTTCTGCAGATGTATGCCAACCAAGAGGAAATGTATTATATTTTTAAAAGGGGAAGTTGTTAGCGTGAGTTAAAATGTGGAACTTAAACCACAAAAAGTGATTCTGTACTAATTATGTATATTGGGAAGTTTATTTTTTAGCACTGTATCAAAGAAAATTTCAGTCATATAAAGTAGTTCATATAGTTTATGTTCACCGTTCTGCTTTAACAATTGTTCATTCATAGCAATATGTTTTGTTTCTATTACTGTTGACTCTGATCTGTTTTGTTTCATTTCAAAGAAAACATGTTTGGGAATAATTTGTATGCTATGTTCTGTTGGTAAAACATAGAAAATATGAGTCAGGTACTGTTGGCCCACAACTGTAATCCTGGCTAGTTAGGAGGCTGAGATCTGAGGATCACTGTTCAAAGGCCAGCCTGGGCAGGGAAGTCTGTGAGATTCTTGTCTCCAATGAGTAGCCAAAAAGACAGAGGTGGAGCTGTAGCTCAAGTGGCAGAGTTCTAGCCTTAAGCAAAAAAAAAAAAAAAGGCTACAGGACAGAGCCCGGACCTTGAGTTCAAGCCCCAGTATTGGACAAAAAGAAGGGGGGAAAAAACAACAACACAAAATATGGACTTCATAGGGGAAAAAAGACTCCTTGAGCAAGATAGTAAGAGAAACAGGAAGAAGGTAGAAGACTACACTGTGATTTTGACTAGAGAAAGGACAGGAAGCCTGGAGTGGATCGTGGGGGTACGACACGCCACACCAGGGAAGTTTTGATGGTAAACAAGAACAGAGTGTATTTATGAGTCACAGCCTAAGCCAGACCCTGCTTTGTGGATCCACATCCGCTCCGAGCCTACCTAAGCTGCAGCTGTAAGAAAGGAAGCCCGGGAGCAGCAGCGTCCTGCCGGCCTGGAGGGAGCCACCCTGCAGTTCTTGCTAAAGCCATTTCAGACCGGATTGACCGGGAGCTGAGCGGACGCCCAGGCCACTCCCTTCGTTAAGGGCTCTGCCTGGAGAGAAGAGGAAATGAGGAAGAGGAAATCGTGGCACGTTTTAAACGTTTCAGCCACCGATCCCGTCCTGCGTGCTCAGCCATGCTCTGTCCACGGCTGTGGACAACACACAACATCCACCAAACTGTGTCATCTGCAGATTTTCATTTTAAAAAGCCAACTTTTTAGGCAGTTGCTTAGTGTATGCACCGTTAAGTTCTAACATCCTGGAGGTAGCTGTCAAAGGAGAGAGACCGATCCAAAGACAGCCTGGAGGCCTGGAGTCCCTGGACCCCCAGACATTGCTCTGCCAGCCTCCCGCCGCGGCTTTCCAGCACTCCCGAGATAGTCGACCCTGTCGTCTCTTTAGGCCCCCGCCGGCAGGGGGCGCCCGCGGCCTGTCTCCCCTTGAGGCCAGGTCTAGAGCCCAGGCCCTGGGGCGCTTCTGCCTGCACCTCCCAGGAGCGCACGAGGAGGGCGAGGCTACACAGGGCCCCCACGCGCAGCCTGGACCCTCCGGAGCAGTCTACCCAAGGTGGGTGCAGCAGATGCCCGGGCGGGGCTGGCTTAGGGCGTGGTGGTGGGTGTGGGCCTGGCGCGCGTAGCCACGCCCTCTTGGCAGTCACTCCGGGCCGGGGCGCGGCAGGTGTGGACGCGAAACTGACTGAGGCGTGTAGATAGGCGGGGCCTATAGCGTACAGCCACACCCCCTACACTCACTCAGGCGGGGCGCGGCAGGTGCCTGAGCGGGACTGGCTGGGGTGCGCCTGAGGGTGGAGCTTGGCGCGCGTAGCCACGCCTTCTCTCAGACACCCGGGGCGGGGCGCGGCAGGTGTGGAAGTGGGACTGGCTGAGGGCGTGCCAGCGGGCGGGGCATGTGCGCGCAGCCACGCCCTCGCGCCGCTCGGGGCCGTTGAACAGGCGCCAGCTGTGGGGAGTGTGCGACGGCTTAAGGTGGCGGGCGCGTCTGCCTCCAGCTTCCCTGCTACGGGCTAGGTAGTCGACGGCCGCCGCTCCGCTTCCCGGCTTCCCGGCTTCCGGGCGGGGCGCTCCGCAGATGGGAAAAGGGAGATTTCCCTGACAGGAGTTGGGGGCTGAGGTTTCTCGGCCAGGGACGCTCGAGCCTCGCCGCTTCGGGATGGGGGCCGCCGGGGGTGGGCAGGGTCGGGGTGCGGGCCGTCGAGGGAGCCGGTGAGGGGTGGAGGGGGCGCTCTGGGACATCCCGGGCATCCCGGAACCCCGGGCTGGCCTTGGCCCCTGCAGGTAACCTGGGGCCGCCTCGGGAGCTCCCAGCCGAAGCAACTTTCTCCCTGCGCAGGTGGCGGCGGGAGGTGGGCGCTGCGCGGGCGCGCGCGGCGCGGGGACTGCGCCGACCCGGCTCCGGGGGACGACGACCCCTCGCCCGCGCAAGGTGGCCAGGTAAGGGGACGTGGCTCCCATCTCCGAGAGAACCCACACCCCACAAAGGACGGGCCACCGACTTGTATTTAAATATAAGTATACGCATATGAATACATGTTGATCGAGTTATTGGGAACAGCTGCTGTTAGAATCGCAAGAATGGCAACCTGTCGAGTGAACAGCATGTGATAGCCAGGGTTAGGTAGAGATGCAGTCTGTGGACCTTGATTGCATCCTGATTTGATAAATGTTTTAAAAATTGAGATCACGAAGGAAATTTGCACTTGATTGTTGGATAGATACTACTTTAGGTGGTCTCCCTCCCCTCCCTCACCCCCGTCCGTACTTATAACTATTTTGTTTTTGCTGGTCTAGAGTTTGAAGTCAGGGCCTCAGCCAGCCTGCTGACATTAAAGCCACATTCCCAGCCCTAATTGTGGTTTTTAAAAACCCGAATCTTTTAGAGTTACTGGTCTAAGGCTAAAATAAAAGATGAGGGTCTGCTTCAAAGTAATCCTGTTTCGGGGAGCAGTTTGCATTTCTTGTAAAAACAGGCTGGCTATCAACAGCCTTCTTTTTCTCCCTTGTGGGGGTGCTGATCTATTTTGCTCAGAAGGTTCAGGATGTTTGCAAGGGTGTCAGAGCTGACAGGATCAACTTGATGCAGGTGGATGCTGGCTCAGCTTTTTCCACACAAAGGGTTTAGCATGCTTAGGAAACCCATTGCCTCCAGCCAGGCGGGTTGTATGAAATGTGTTAGCAGTTTTTCCCAATTGCCCAAATCCCAAGTTACACTCATCAACAAACTGAGGGTAAGGCTGGGGATGCGGCTCAGTGGTTGAGCACTTGTGCTCATTTGTGCCCCAGGTCCTGGGTTCAGTCCCCAGCTCTGGGAGAAAGTAAGTAAAGAAGCTAGTGTCACCCATACTTATACACCCATAGAAGCATTGTACGTATCAAAGGGTTTACATAATACTAGAAATAGTAGGAGGTGAGTTAGGACCTATTCATTCATTTAAAAAGGTGCCTGTGTTTCTGTGTTTGCTTCAGCAATCATGATTTATTTTAATTAGCAAATTTATTTAGCAAAGAACTGACTCAAAATTGTTCCAGGGTATATGCCGTGGGTTTTTTTTTTTTTTTTATGTTTTCCTTTCTAAGTACCCTATTTGGGATTGTGGTGACATCTATATGGTCATCCAACTTGGTTATTTTTTTTCCTCAGAAATTATAATTCCTACTTAGTCTTATTATTAGTGATTTGCAAAAGTGTTAACTCTAGGAGGGACGTTGAAGTTCAGTGGAAGGATGAAGAGGAAACCTATGCCTGAAGGCTTACAGTTTTTAGTAGCTTCCTTGCAGCAGATTTAAATGCCAAATCAATGCTAATCTGTGGCAATTAAAAGTTAAAGTATCACTGGGTGTCAGTAGTTTGATCCTAGCTACTCATGAGATCCAAGGATCCTGGTTCAAAGTCTGGGCAGGAATGTATGTGAAACTTATCTCCAATTAAGCACCCAAAAAGCCAGAAGTGGAGCTGTGGCTCAAGTGGTAGAATGTGAGCAAAAAAGCTCAGGGACAGAGCTTAGCATCTAGGTTCAAGCCCCAGGACCACCAACACACACAGAAAGTTGAAGTGTCAGGCAAACGTTCTCAGCCATCTGAGTTCACTAGCATAAAAGAATCTCCTCCTCCAAAAAATAAAAAGTATTCTGGGAATTGAACTCTGGGTTGTTCTTCCACTTGAACCACACCTCCAGCCCTTTTTGCTTTTTGTTTGGCTTGCTTTGCCTGGGCTCACCTCAAATGTTCCTACCTCCCCTCAAGAAGCTGAAATGACAGGAGTGTGTCAGCCACTCAGTGGACAGTCCAAGCTTTATTGCAATATGTGAGAAAATAATGAGAACCAACAAAACATTTCCCTCGCTGCTGGAAAGCAGTGAGTTCATGGCAGTACTTTAGTGAAATCGTTTGGCTTATGATTCAGTTTTCTCTATAGGAATAAAAAAATACAACTTTTAGTGAGCTTTCTACCTCAGTTTCTTCACTAGTTCCCTAAATAAAACTTGGAAACTTGTTGGGCCCTTAGGTGACCCTGCAGTGATCCCTCCTTTGGACACTGGACTGGGACCCAGGGGAGTTACTTGCTAAAAGCCATTTTAAGGCATTACCACAATGTGACACCCTGGTCTTTCCACTTCGTGCCATGGAAGAGGATAAACACATTAGAAAAGCAAATTGCTCCATTGCTGGCCTAGAAATGAGAAGAAAGGGTGTTGCCAATCCAATGAGCATTATTCCACATTTGTCAGCACTCACTGCCCTCCACCGCACCTCCTCCGCTCCGGGAGGGTGGGTATGGCTGTGAACAGACGGGAGCAGTGAAATCTCAGGAGGCTAAGACTGGCTTTGCTTGTTATTTTTTTAGGGGTCTGGCAGAAGGAAGTCTTAACATTTACCGAGAGTCCCCAGCCATCTTCACATACTGTTTGTTGGGGGCAGGCCGGGGGGACCGAGACAGAGTCTCACTGTGCAGCCTCAACTAGCCTCGAACTCGTGATCTTCCTCAGGGATTATAAGCAGATACTACCATGCCCAGCCATGATTTAAATTCTCACAAATCGAAATATTTTGGCCCCTTTTTTGCTTGAGGACTTGAATCTAGTAAATGACAAACTCAAATTCAAACTCAGCTGTTTCTGGCCCTGAGGTCTTTAGTTATTTCCATCCTCTGCAGTTTCAAGCCTTCTGCAGGCCCCAGAGCAGCACTCCCAAGGGGCCAGACAGGCCCTGGTGACAACCAAGCCATGGGGCGCTTGTAACAACTGAGGTGTACTGTCAGGCCAGCAAGAGTTAAAACAGCCCACGGTGAACACCAGAAGATTCCAAATGTTCTGTGCAGCCAGTAATGGAGCAACTCCCTTCAGGGATGATGGGTGCATCCCAGATCCCTCTAGCCTCTACTGCTCCCCAAAACCTCCCCAGCCTTCGCATTGCATTGCTTCTCCTTACTGTGTGGTCACCGAGGAGAGATGGAGAAGCCCTTGGCCTTTGGGGAAATGTACATTTGCTACATTTGAAGTACAACAAAAATGGAGGCCATGTGTGAACAGGCCTCAGCAGGGAAAAGGCTTACACCCCCTGTGGGTGGCAGGCTGGGCTTGTGTGCCCTCCCTGTTGAAGCAGCCGGACTCCAGGAGCCACATGGGGCCCTGGCAGTGCTTAGCTCTGGAGCTGCCCTGAGCTGGGAAGCAGCCACTCTGAGGCCTTCCCTCGGCCCCTTGGCCCACCTCGCTGCTGCTAATGACAAACCTGCTCTCCACACTACCTAGGCACAACTCCTCAGAAAGCTCACAGGCTCAGAGTGGCCCCAGCCTTCAGGAGGTTACGCAAGAGTCCAAAGATGGGTTCATTTCCTGTCTTGAAACTTCTGTTAAGGGTCATTGGACAGAGGTTCTCAACTCTGAGTGTAGCTGGAGTTTCATTACAGTTGACGTTCTATCTAGATCTGTTTCTTCCTGACTTCATTCTCTGTCTTCCCCATCCAGCCTGTCCAGTTCTGAGCATTCACAGGCCTGCAGGGAATGGGTGAGGAGAGGATGGGAAGAGGAAACCCCACAAAATTGAACCTGTAGAGCCAGGTGCAAGTAGCTCAACCTGTAATCCTAACTACTTGAGGCTGAGATCTGAGGATTACTGATCAAGGCCAGCCCTGGGCAGGAAAGTCCATGAGACTCCACTCCAACCAGCAAGAAGTGGAGCTGTGGCTCAAGTGGTAGAGCACTGTGAAAAAAAGCTAAGCGATAGTGCCCAGTCCCTAATCTCAAGCCCCAGTTCCAGGACAAAAAAAAAAACAAAAAAACTTGTTGGGTGGTCTTGAGGAAAGGCCAGATGCTATTTTGATGCCTTTTGTGCTGCAACTGTCAAGATTCCTGCGGACAAGTGTCCTAATGTGATAAGAAAGATAAGCTCACCAGTGAAATGATCTTGTTTAGACTGAAAGGAGTAGAGGGGAGATACGTTGTGTAGTAGATGTCAGACGAGCAGGTTAATTGGATCCTTTCAGAAGCACTGCAGGATTTATGTTTGTGGGTTTGTGCTCCCTAGTTGTACCAGCATGAGCAAACACAGACAAAGCAATGGCGGTGGATCAGCCATCTCTGGGGTTGATGTTTACCACTGTGTGTCATCAGCGTATTGCTTTAGCCTGTCCACCTCATTTCCCCTTGAGTACAGCGGTGATCGTCCCAGGGCCTGCCTCACAGGGCTGAGGATGAACTGGCGCACTGGAGCCCCTCCCCAAGCTTGCCCAGCAACACTCACTGTGGGTGTCTGTGGTTGGCTGAGCCTGCCTCCTTTACCTTCACTTTGTGGGGGGCAATTCCCCCCAGTAATGCTAGATCAGCTCTAACTTCTGTTTGGAGTAAGCTGCCATGTGCTCTTGGGGAAATGTTCTCCGAGACAAATGCTGTGGGTTTGCTGCTACAGCTGCCCCGGAATGAATGAGAATGGGCTGGAACCCAGGCCTCTGCGGCTGTTGTTTGGGGATGAAAATCTTCCCAGTCTACAAAAGCAGCAGCATCCACTGGCATTCATGTGGATCTAAACTCCAGCAGTTTGTAGAAGCTCAGGCTGATGTCAGCATGGAGGAAGAGTTGGGCCCAGGGGCCCTAACCCCTAAATGTGTCACCACCTGCCTGAGGGTAAGGCCTGAGTTCTCTGAGCAGACAGGGCCCTGGTATCAGCTCACAGGACTATCCTGAGGGGTCAGGAATCCTGACACACAGCCGAGGCAGTGGCTGGCCTGTTGTCCTGCATTGATTATCTTACAGAGCAGAGTGGCTGGTTTACATTTACTGTCAGCTAATGTAGACTGTCCTACAGTTTCAGAGCGGTCTATCTATTTGGTCTAGAACCAGTGATACAGTCATCTGGTCCCTTGTCGTGCCTATAAGGAGAGTTCATGACAGAGATGAGCCCAAAAATAGGAACATGGGATGGACCTCATTTGACCTCAT